GTCTCTTGTTATTGTATTTGATACATAATTTCGCTGCTTGCTACCCAATCATGCTACCACTTTGCATTGGGGTGCTCTCGTACTCTTCGAAATTTGGAATAGTATTTTTGCTTTTCGTGCAATCCGTGCATCGTGCAAGACTTCGAGAATACCCCTATTTATTTAAAAAAATATATAAATCAATCCTTTATATTTACAGAGGATGATGCAACAGGTGGAAAATTGTGGCCTACATTTTAATTGAATAAACCATAGTTAGTAAAATAGAAAATTTTAATCTCTTGCTTAACTTACAACTAGTGATAAATTTCTTTTTCGTATTTAACATAATGTATCCACGCGAAATATAGCAAATTCTAGAATTTTTAGTACGCTTCTTCTATAAACATTTTCCCATCTCTACACGTCGTATAAAAGAAAAATATTAATAGTTTGCTAAAAGTTAATAGTTTCATAAGCAAAATTACAGCTTTTGAACAATAAAAGAACCGTACTAAATATTTTATTTGTTTATTAACTCAGCATTGTATCATAAATTTTCTTACAAACTTTTGTCTGAACGTGTCTTTTAATAATGCTACATATTGCTTAATCAAAACTTAACTTGCACATACGTACACCTTGACACAAGCAAGTGTTCACATGTTGATATTTTTTAATATTCACAATGTTTTTCAAGTGAACAGTTTTTGGTTATTATTATTTTTTTATATTATTCAGGCTTTAACTAAAACCATATAAATCAACATTTCAAACTTTATACAAAATTCAACATATTTTTTCAAATTTTCGAATATTTTGATTTGAATATTTTGAACATTTTAGGGTATGCAGTTCTATTGCCCTTAAAATTTTAATATGATAAAGTGGAAATATCACGATGTTAATAATTTTAAGTTTAATAATTTTTATTGCTGACGGTTTTAGAGATTTTTGGCAATTTTTTTGGTTGAAGATGTCGCTCATTTTGTTCAAAATAAAAAAAAAGTCGTACATATTTTGTGTGGAAAAAAGTCACTACACAGCCAGCAAAAAAATTACCTAAAATCAACAGTAAGCCCTAGGCACTTCAAAGTTGCACTTTATTACACTAAAATTTAATGGGCTGTAAAGCTACATACTCAATATTTTTTCTAAAAAATCTAATTAAAGGCTCAAATTTTTTAAGAAAGTTTGTTGAATTTTTTTAAATATTGCATTAGGTTAGAAACATGGATTTATACGATTTTTATTAGAGAAAAAATCTTATCTTTATAAACAACTTAAATTAAATTAAAAAAATAATTGGTGCAAACTAGTCAATTTATAGTGCAGTTATAATTATGACGCGGGGTGTATATGTTTGATTTGTTAAAGCATGAACAATATAAAAAATAACAAATTTTTACTTAAAAAACATTGTCAATTTTAAAAGAAAATCAACATGTGAACACTTGTTTGAGTCACTGTAAACATTTGGAATAAAATTTAATTAAATAATTTAAAATTACTTTATACTAGACTAAATACAAATGCTGGTATCACTACATCAATGTTATTATTATATATATTCATATGTTTCATTCAAAAATATAATAAATGCATTTTTTCTTACATATGTATGTATATACAAAATATGTAGGTATGTATAAATAAATGTTAATAAACACTGGTTTTTAATAAAATGTAATATACGATTTGTTATTATTGTACGTATAAAATGCCTGGAAGAATATATGTATGCGTAGGTATAAAATTAAACACCAAAAGGGTAATTTGGTGGAGGTTTACACATTCATTGTTTTCGCTTAAAACATCAAATGCCTAAGTTTACACATTTCTTGTGAACACAGAATGTTTAGAATTTAAACATTTGATGTTTAGGCCTTAACCATTTGATGTTTAAATTTAAACATGTCAAATACACATCTAAAGCTTAACTTAACACGGTGTGTAAATTTGCACGCATTAGGAGAGGAAACTGGTTACCTATCTTAAAATGCGTAAATTTAAACAAAAAAATTTTAGAGTGTAGGAAAAGCGCGTATGGATTGTCGGACCGCAGTATGGTAGGGAGAGGCTAGCAGATTGAGGTTTATTTTAGCATGTTGGCCATACATTTCTAACCCATAGTTGATAGAGGATAAGATGAGCGCCTTTGTAACATTGACCAGCAATTCCGAGTTGATAAGCGAGCGTTTGCAGGACAAGTATTTAACAATATTTAACTTAATGAATAATCTTTCTCTGACGTATTTACAGTGGGGTTTAAAAGAATACTTAGGGCCGTTTACTCAATATGTGGTTAACACTAATCTCCGTTTAAACATCATTATCGACGTGTTCGGCTCCATGCATATAACATGGTGTCGGTAACGTCGATAACGATGTTTTACCGGAGATTAGTGTTAACCAGACATTGAGTAACCGGCCCTTAGAGTCTAATACTAAGGGCCGGGTACTCAATGTCTGGTTAACACTAATCTCCGGTTTAACATCGTTATCGACGTTACCGACTCCCTGTTGTATGCATGGAGTCGAAGACGTCGATAACGATGTTTAACCGCAGATTAGTGTTAACCAGATATTGAGTAACCGGCCCTAAACCTAGAAACTTATGACTATCTGTACAAGTAATAGTTATATTGTTAAATGTAAGTGTAGGTATATTACAGTTTTGTTTCTTACAAATATGTATTAGTTTAGTTTTGCTGGGAGAAATTGAAGAAAGGGACCATGAAGAAATGTGAGATAGAAAATTTAAAAAGGTTGCCATTACGGCATTTAGATTGGAAGTTTTAGAAAACAGCAGTACATCATCCGCAAACATTTGATGGGAAACGTTGGGAAACTGTGAAAAAATGGAACTAAGTTCATCGAATGCTATAGTGAAGAGAATAACGGATAGAGGTGATCCCTGCGGGGTGCCATTATCTAGAGGAAACATAGGGGATCGGAAGTTAGAAATAAGAACACTAATTTTACGAGAGGACAGGAAAGATTTGATAAAGTTGAAAATTTTAGGCCCGACCTTCCACTTGTCCAGCTGCCTCAAAACGACCTGTATACCTATCCGATCGAAAGCCTTGGCAAAATCCAAAGAGAGGAGTGAAATATGATATTTTTTTTTTTGATAAGGCTTCGGAAACGAAGTGCTCGAGGTGTAAGAGGGCATCAACCGTACCCTGCCCCCTCTTGAATGCGACTTGGTTATGGTGAATGAGATTATTTACATGCACATACCAATGATAGTCTACTAGCAATGATTTTTTCCAATAATTTTCCTAAGCAGGGAAGAAGGGAAATAGGACGGTAGCTGCTAGCCTCACTTTGAGGTTTGCCAGGTTTTAAGATAGGAATGATGGAACTAGTCTTCCAAAGGATGGGATAATTACCATTCGAATAGATGTTGTAATGTTTAAGGAGGCGGGATAGAAGCGATAAAGGAAGATGTTTTATAATAGGACAGGATATTTTATCAAAACCAAATGTACTACTTTTAACTGTTAAGAGAGCGAACTGAAGTTCCTGTAGGGATAAATCGGCATCCAACTGCTTGGCGGAAGAAAATAAGCTTAAAGAAATGGGACGGCTAGAATGCAGTTGGGAAAGTTTGCAAGCAGAAAATTCGGGGGGAAAGCTAGAATCAGAGGAGGCGTTGGAGAAGTGGGTGGCTAACTCTAAGGCTATATCATGGGGATATACTAGGTTGCCTTGAGATGAATTAAGGGAAGTGATAGGGGAGTGGGTAGGAGATCCAGTAAGTCTTTTAATGTCAGCCCATATCTTTTTGGTGTCGGATGAAGCAGAAATACTGCTGGTAAACTTTTGGAAGCTGCGGATTTTAGCATTTTTAGCACTTCGTCGAAAAAGTGAATTGCACAGGATAAGATTTGATTGGGTCCGATTGCGCGTAAAGTCATGCCAGGCGTTCTGCTTCTTATCTCTTAATGCTGAAAGCTCTCTGCTCCACCATAGAGGAGAAGGCCTGAAAGGTTCAGCTTTGGATAGAGGGATGGATCGGTTTGCTGAAGAACGAATAAGTTTATGGATATTGGAAGTTTCCTGGTTGGTGTTAGATGAAATAGGGAAGGAGCAGGAGAAAGTTGCGCAGGCGACCTCAAATTTGCACCAGTCTGCTCGATCCGTTTTGAAATAGATCCTGGGTTTGAAAAGAGTTTGGGAGCGGGAAAATGGGATATTGGAGAGGATAGGAAAATGGTCACTGCCATGAAGATCGTCAATGAGGTGCCACGACACTTTGTAAGATAGGGATGCGGAACACAGGGAAAGGTCAATATGTGTAAAGGATGAATGGGTAGAAAAATGGGTGGGCGACCCATCGTTTAGGATAACTGCGTTGGAAACTAGGACGGAGTCTTCAATTTTCCGACCTTTAGAGTTTGTGGAAACGGACCCCCAGAGGGAGTTCCACGCGTTAAAGTCGCCGGCCACTATAAAAGGGTATGAAGAAGTAGGAATTATGTTATTGAAATCTATTGTAGAGATCAATTGATCAGGAGGAGAATAACCGCACACTATTGTAATT